GGGGTCAGCAAAAAGCTTACAAAAAGCGTATTGATACAATATAATACAATACAAGAAATCCTTGACAAAGCACCAGAACGACGGTTTTCTATATTTTTTCTTTTGGATAGAAAATAGCTAAAGTAATAATAAATTTGCAAAAGCTCTTTCTAGACCCGCTTTTATTAGTCATTTGATTCAACACCATAATAGTGCAGTCATGGACATTTCGCTAAGTCCCAGATCACTGATTTCCACAACAGAACAGCGTATCTTCATAATTATGGAGCTGACCCCTTTTACTGTGGAATGTGTATTAGAAGAATGTTGTTTTGAATGTAAGGAGAAAATTAGTGAAACTCACGTATTTGGCGAAAAATGAACGATTGTCCCCTTTTTCTGCACGAGCCATTTCTTCACGTTGTTTTTCCAGTCGTTGTAAATATCGGAAGGTTTCAGGACTGAAGTGGCAAAGATGAAGTATTATGAATACCACAAAACCGAAACAAAAATTTCACTTACCTAGCACCCGTAGTCGGACGCTGCACATCCAGTGTAAACCCGAGTGAGTGAGTGAGCCCAGAATGAACTTTAGCAGGACTGCATTCGAACACCGAAGGAGCCAGATGAATGGCGATGGGTGATCCTTGGTCGTTCACGCTCACCACCAATTTCGCTTTCATCCCGGAACCGACCAACTGACACTACGTGAAAGACGAGCAAAACCAATGGGATTTGAACGGTGTTTTGGAACGGTTTGAGCCAATATATGTGCTAGTTGTATCACATTCGTTATCGAAGATAAACATAATCGAATATGAGGGTTCTTTAAATCTCTGCTCAATGTGCCATACATGAACAAACCGTATTTCGGAAGAAGGCAATGATCAAACATAGGCTACCTTGACGGGGACTGGTGACTCGTGTGATTTATGTGTTGGTGTGTGTTCATGATAGGCAAAAATTAAACACAGCTACCTCTACATAAAATGAGTTATCTGAATTGGTATACATTTAGGTGAGATAGTGTAAAATAAAACCATCCTCGTCCATTCTATTATAGTTGTTCCCGTTTCTTATTTTCTCCACTTTCAGCTCCGCTGTGCACAGTTCTGGCATATTGCCTCTTGTAGGTATCTGAGGTCACTGGTGCACCCCAACGCCTAAGCCAAAAAACGAAATAATCATTCGAATTGAAAACGCTTCGAGAGCATTTTATTGACTAAGGAACATGCTCTGGTGCGAAATGGAGATTAATATTTAAACTATCTCGGGTCTGTCAGCCACGAATAGGCTTCGTTCTCTTGTACGACAGCGAAACCTGGTCTTTCCGCGTCAAAAACATGAGCGGACTCGAGATACTGAACAATATTTCAACAATAGTTCGAGGTTTGAGGTAATCACAATACCTTGTCTCATGGTTGGGTCACCGCACCTAGGCGGCTACGGCTTGAGATATTCACGAGATTGGCTCATCCTCCCACAAAAAATTGTAAAAAAAAGTATGCTCACCGCTGGGATCGATGATTCCAGAAAATCTGTATCAGTCAAATGAATACGGATGTGATACAGTCCATTCTTCTGCGACAGATCCTGTAATTGTAAATGAAATTAATCAGTCGTGTTAAGCACAGAACACGGAGAGAACGGATGACGCACGAACAACAGTTTTTCGTCCTGATCAGTCAGACCGAAACCGGCAGCTTCCAAAGTCAGTATACCGGCTGATGGATGCAACGCAATGGATCGTATCTGTTTGAATGTGTGGCCTGAAAGAATGGGTGGACGGGAGGTTCCGAATGTCATTTATCATAAAAATGCAACGCATTAAATACTGCAGAAAAGCTACGGAAAAACTATGGAACTGTTTCGACCTCCTAAGAGATCTCCACCCGTGGTCATAATTAACATCTATGGATTCCCGAACTCTCCCATGTAATGGAAGGTCTGAAGATAACTACTAGGCTAGTAGGCTGTCCACGGACGATAATATTCAATACGTAGGTCAAAAGATACAATAATATTGCCTAAAACAAGCAGACTTCACTTACCGGCATCTAGTGAATGCTCCAATGAAAGTGTAAGCGATGCGACTGATGCCCTGAGTTGCTATGGAAAATGGTAGTTGGAACACATTGAAAAACAGTACTTACGACGAGTAAAAAGAAATGCACCAATATAACTATGTTCTGAAAGTACATATTCATCAGGGTAGTAGGTGCTGAAAGAGAAAAAACTGGTTTGATAAAATGATGCATCGTAGTCGGCACATATAAATAAACATAAACAGTTGGCAGCTTGATAAGTTGATAAAGTTGAAGCATGGTAGATTCAGCGAGGTGTTGTACAGGAGTATTGCTGAGGAGAAACGACTGAAGTGGTGGCGGTGGCGCAGTGGTTTAATCGCTGACGTGCTTAGAGTCCTATGATCCGAGGTTCGAGCCCCGTCACCACTAACCAACTTTGGTGGTAGGGAGATTTGCTGTCGTCCAGTTCAATACCACGCCTAACCTATCGAGGCCTTATACGGGTAGCCACTCCAAGTCCCGGGGCTTAGGTTACCGGTTTCCATGATGGAGCAGAAGGTCTTCGTGACTATGGGGTTCACCCCGTCTGCTGTTCACCATACAAATGTGTGTAATTAAAAAAAATGCGCTAAAGATTGCTAATAGATTCAATTGGTAGTTTGATCAGTTCTGTACAACTATCAACCCGGGATTTGAATGCTGAATGAGACCAACAAGAGAGGGTTACCAAAACAATGTTACAATGAGGTGTGTCTAGGTTACAATTTATAAGAACGCATGTCAAAATACCAAACTATCTGCCATTATTGAACTAACTTTCGGTACTTAGCACAGCCTAATAAGGCCAGTGTTTCTACCATGGATCAGCACAATGTTGATATCGTCTAATCTCAGGCATTCTTCGTATGGCTGGGGCCCCCTTCCTGAAAGTTTACTGTGTATTTGTATGCTCAATAAACAAAAAAGTAAGTGAAATCACGTGCTTTGATCTATAAATCAAAAGTACCGAACTACTAGTGGACCCATGAGATACAAATGACCCTTTGGTACAGGATAATCGGAGAAGTGAAATAGGGTTCTGAATGAGCTTGTGGTAAGTCAATTTTTTCCTGAGTTTATTATGTAATCCTTCAATTTTCATATTGTTATTACCTGTTGAATTACGCATATACAACTGCAGTGATTTCTTCTGAATTTGCGGGCTATTAGAACCATGCC